GAGGGCCGCGGTGGAAGCGGCCTCCAGCCGTGCCAGCCGCAGAGCCTGCGGCGCAGCGCCCCTCGTCCCCTCAGCGTCGGGCGGTTCTCACACAGAAATTGTTCTTTTTTTTCTTTCCCCCTGTAAATGTGAGCGCGCTGCTCGCTCCGGGCCTTGGGGAGGGGAGCGGGGCTCGGGGTCCCTGGTAGCCCCGGAGACCCCTGCAAGGAAGGTGAGGGGAGCGGGGCAGCAGGCCATGAGGAGATGACTCCTCATCACGGCATCCAGGGAGCTTGGCAGGCGTCGAGGGCAAAAAACCCAACCTCCTCCTCGGGCGTTAGCAAATGGAGGGCCCCTGGGCTTCACCAGGCCGTTGGGTTGGGCCCTTAACACATCTTGCTGCAAGAAAGGGGCTCTTGGTGTGCCCACCCTGGGATCTTCCACCAGCGCCAGTGCGTGAGGAGTTTTCCTAAAGCTAGCTGACGTTTCAAGCAGATTTCCGTTCTGTTTCTCCTTACCACCAGGCCTGTAAGTCAGAATGTTGGCGTATGACTACAACCAAAGGAAAAGCCGCCTGCTCTCGTAGTGGAAAGTATGGCAAGAAATGAATCGGAATGAAAAAGATGGTAAAAATGGGATGCCAGAGGTGCTGTAAAAGTGTGTCTGGCACGTACATCTGTGACCCCTTCCAGTGTGCAGGCAAGAGGAAGACAGCCGTACTGTAAAAACATGCACAGAGATTTAAAAGAATTGCTAAAGTCTACACAATTGTCTTAACCTGCTGAAAAAAGAAGCAGTGGAAACCTCTCAGAAATGCAGTCAGTTACTGCCAGCTTTCCAACCCTTGCCAGCATATTCAGCTGCCTTTCGTCATCTGGATACACAGAAGCCATCTACCAGAATAGCCTGGCTCCTGGTATACAGGCGGAACAGGAAGGAGCTCAGCACCTTTCCTGTCCACACCATCCTATTTGCGCTGTTAACTCTGCATCCTTATCTCAGATAGCTGCTGCACAGCTGTTGCCTAAAACTGGTTGGTTTTAACATGAGCAAGTAGTTTTAAAATAGGCACATTTTAAGCTGTGCTGTGATCACACGTTGGTACATCTTCAGGCCAAAAGTGCTGAAGCCTGTAATCAGTCCTCCTGCAGAATAGCACTTACGCACACAAGTGGTCCCATTGATTTTAATTGAACTATTTGAGTGAGAGCTATTCAGCATATAGGAGGGTTGCAGAATATTGTTCTGTGTGTTTATTCCTTGGCAAAAGATGTCAGCTACAGTTTCCTTTTAAGAGGATAATAGCGATTCACATTAAAATAAGGATTATGCTTTACTCTTTTTACAGGATCGTGGTAGAACTACATATACATTACACCTGATAATTTATTAGTCTGTATCTTGTTGTCTCAGATACGCAAGGGTAATGCGGTTCTTGAACATTGCTGAAACACAGATCACATTTTACTGCCATTTGGTCCAGGCATCAGGGATAAGACAAAAGACAAGGCTGAATTTTATATCTGGTTGGAAAAAGGCCAACTCCATGAATTACAAGGCAAAAAAGAATTTGGTGCATAGATTGCAATGGTAAAAAAATTGCTGTAACATTTTCCACTTGTTGCTTGAACTGTTGAAATTCTGCTGCATGTGGGTGAGACAGTACAGTTTTCACTGTAAACCCATTGAAATTTATGGCAGTTTTGCTGTTGACTTAACTGGAAGTAAGTTTAGACACTAATGCTTTCTATTACGAAATAGCGTGAAACCATATATGCATAGGTCTGTGTTGTCTACACAGGAAAGAAAGTTCCCTTTGCCTGACCGTGTGCAGAGGGCATGTAGTAAAGAAAATGCAAAGATGTACAGGTAAGGCACTGTTGTTCTCTAGTGTAGCCACAGCGATCTAGCAGTACCTCAGCTTTTCAGAGCACCTATGTTTCTTTGTATATGTGTCTCAATGTATCTTAAACTGTTTCGTACACATGCTTTGGAATCAATCATATGTCCAGAAAGGAAGATGAACATGCTAGGTATATAAATGCACCTGGGTGAAAGTGGGATACACTTGTACAAAAGGCCAGGATTCAGGTATGGATTTACCAAGGCTCTGAAGGCCTGAAGCTTCTCCCGCTCCTCCCCACCATACTATGAACACACACTGTTTGTCTCTAGAAACACAGGAGTCCAAACAAGCATAGCACTGCGCAGGGCTTCAGGAGGGTGCATAGCCCGCGCTGCGCACCCCACCAAGCACTGTCCTCACCAGACGCTCCTCTGTGCGGTCTGACTGCTGGGTCTCACTCCATGATGGCTTCAGCCCTCGCCCTCCCCTGCACCCCCTGGACCCAAACCCAGCAACCTAACCTCTCCTGGGGTACAAACCATCAGACTCAATGTGATTGCTCTTTCTGCTTTTAAACGTGGACAAAAGTATTTTGAAGACAGTTGTTTTAAGGTCATCGAATGCAATTTCACATTGGTATTGGCACTTTCCAGGGCCCTGTGCTCCCACCCTTCCCTGCACAGAAGGGGTGCTTTGCGAAAAGGGGCTACTGAAGCCACCTGGACTATGTGCGTGAGTAAGTCTTGTGCAGTGCTGTTAAGGCCTGCAAAACAGGGACCAGTGCAGTCACAGAGGCCAGCAGATTTCTGTTCATGGTGTCTCTCGGCTCAGGAGTCATAAACTGTATTAGTCTGCTTGAACTATAAGCATGTGTGTAAGCCCAGCTCCCCCCCTGGAAATCCAGAGTAAACCAACATGCATTTAGGAAGGACAGTGTATGGGTTGGCTCATACCAAACAAGCGCTGACACATGTTTACCTGGAGTTGCATCGAAGGAGCTTTCTGTACAGTGGGCAACAATGCGTTAGAGAGTGCCGAGTGGTTTTACCAAGATTATTTCTCCTAGAGTGAATCCAACTGAGTCCTTTTCAGGAGGCACCATAAAAAACTTTTAAAAATACCTAGAATGAATCGTTCTGGATCTTTTTTTATTTGTGCCAGTGAACCAGTACTAGCTTTGGTGGTGCCGGCGTGGGTGCAGAGGTGTAAAATGGGTGTGAAAGAAGATCAACCGAATTACTTTAAGAACTGAAGGACAAGCTCTAAGATATACATGTGCTCAAAGGCTTTGCAGATTTGCGTCTCTAAATAGCTTTTTTCCATTTCTACGAGCAAGCACCAGGAACAGCTGAGTGCTAAAGAAACAGCTGGCCTTCAGTGATAAGGGGTAGCTGTCACTTCATGATGAAGTTTGAAAAACTTTATATTTAGAAGCAGAAGGGAGAGCCATCAGCAGCCACACCCCAAAACCTGAACTGTTTGCAGTTTCTTCGCTGCCTGCACTTTGTGATTGCGGTGGTAGTATTTACATTTTAAAATGTTACAGCGCCTTTCTTTTCCAAAATTCATCCTGTGGCATGACATGGCATGTGAGATCAGTGACATCAGAACTGCTGACTGCCCTGAGCTGTGATGAGGGCAGAGCTCTGAAGTTGAGGATCTGTAATTCAAGAAACTTCATTCACTATTCCCCACATACAGCCTTAAAGAAAGAATTAGGTCTTCCATGCTTTTCAGATTTGGCTTATTGCAGCTACTGCATGTTTCTTTCTTCCATCTTTTAAAATTCCTTACTGTGTGTTATCCCTACGTCCAGAAATAACCTCCTTCACTGTGCCTTGGCGTCCATCCCCCTGTTTCCTTGGGTGTTGCAAGGCTTAGGTAGTGAGCAAAAGTCTTCCCGCACAGGAAGGGGTCTGCACTCGGAGCTGGCACTGACAAGTTTTAGCTCCCTGTCTCAGCATCTCAAATCCCATTTAATCTCTCATCTCACCTGTGATTCAGATCATTAACTCTGTTTCCTAGATGCAGAAACCAAAACACCTGAAAGTTGAATAGAAGTTTCAGAAGTAACAATTTTGTCAGTGCCCAAGCCCAATTTGAGACACTCTGATTGTATCTACCCTGCCAAATAAAGCAGGGCCAAAGACTGTTCTCCATCCCTGATCTCAGATGGCAGATACCACTGCAGCTGCTTGGCACTGCATCTCCTCTGGGCTGCTACTGGTGCACATATGGCTTTTAGTCATCACTTTATTTTATGTGTGGTTTCCTTTTAGTTTGGAGTGGGTTTTTTAAGTTCAAAGTGCCTGAAGATATGTGGCAGCCCATCACAGAGCTGCTTTCAGAGCTTAAAGCTGAGTTTATGTCTCATGAAGGTATGTGGGGTATCAGGTTAATGAGTCGCTGCTACAGTGTTGAGGGACTGTGTAGTGTGGAGCAATCGTGTCTGTGCAATCTCATCCAATGTGCCTTCTGGACTGGTGCTCAACCTGTCCTGCCCCTTAAACTGTACCCAGGTGTTGGCTTGGAGAGTAGCTTGGTGTGCTGGTTTTGGCTGGGGTAGGC